GGGCCTGGTCCATAAGCCTAGTGTATTGGCATGTGCCAGGCCCCATTCTTCCCTCTGCTCCCAGCCTGGCGGAGTGTAGTGAGAGTGCATTTTGCAGTGCTGCTGCATGGATGGTGATGGGGGAGGCAGTGAGCATGGGGTTTTCTGGTGAGGCTTTCCCAGGCCCCAAAGGATCCCTGTTCTGTGTCTCTTCTGCTTCTGATCTCAGAGGGGCTGGTGGGGTCCCTGGAATACTCACTGTGTGGCAGGAAGGGGGGCTGGCTGCTTCAGGGGGTTAGAGTCTTGACTCTAGCCCAGGCTGGTAGTGACAGAGGCGTGCTGCTCTCAAATAGCTTCAGGAGCCTCTATATGCAACGCGTTGAGGGGTCTCAGCTGACAGGTGTCCACATGACAAGAAATCCACCCTCGCAGCTGTCACTGTTGGGGCCACTTGTCTGGCAGCCTCTGCAGAAAAGAAAAGGATGATTGGGCCATGGAGACAGCTCCCCTCTTGCTCCTGGAGGGGGTACGCTAGCTCAGGGAGGAATGATGCTACTCCCCCTGCAGTGCATGGAGGCCTCTGGCAACTTTTTGCAACACGACACTGATGTTAAAGGGGTGTGCAGGAGAAAACAAAGGTCACCCCACCCCCAGCACTGACCAGCCTGAGCTGTCCATGGCCACTCCGATTGTAAATGCTGCTTTCTCCTAGGGGAGTGTTGCAGAGATGCCCCATGTCAGCACAGAGGGTTGCCCCCTGCCACAAGCGCCTTAGCACAGCAGGAGTCTCTCCTAGAGCATGGCTCCCCTAGCACCGGGACTGCACTTCCTGGGTGGCCAGAGCCTTGTATCTTATCTCAACATCATCGGTCCCAGCTGGGCTTTTGATGCAATTGATCTCCCTGGGCTGGAGCAGCTGGAGTCTCCAGTCTGCTCTGCTTCTGGACTTGCTAATACTTCATCCTTTGTTCCTGGAGAGGCCTGCCCTGGGGTCTGGGCTCCCTGTCCCCGGGGTGCCCCATTGCTTGCTTTGACCTGGATCGTCTCTTTGCCCAGCAGCTCCTGGGAATTGCTCCCAAATCTCTCCATCCCCATCTGCCATCTCCTTTGGCCTTTGCTCGAGGAAACCCCCTGAAGCATGTGGACTCCCTCCTTGGCCTGGCTCCTCGGGGCCATTGTTCTCCTTAACTCAGGCTCCCGCTTTGCTCCCAGTCCCAGGAACCTCAAGGCGATCAATGACCCTGAACATGTTTGTTCCTTCCTCTGTCTATGTTGTCTGTCTGTCTAGCCCTATCAGCAGCACAACCCATGGTCTGGGGGGGCCCTGCTGGGGCTGGACTCCATGGACTCCTTGTGATGCGGAGCGCTGCACCCAACCTCACAGGCTTTCCAGCCGCTTCCAGGCTCGGTCCGTTCCCCCTTCTGGCATCTCTAGTCACCCCACCTGCTGACCTCTGATCACACAGACCCTTCTCTGAGGGGAGAGAGGGTTCTGGTGTCCCCATTCTGTTGCTACTTCCCAGCCACCCTCAGCTGGCTTCCCTGTCAATCTTCCTTTTCATTCTGGGGCTGAGTGTCATTCCTCCTCCTTGGCAATGGGCAGAGACCCTGACTCCTGAATGTTAGTCATGTTCTCCTGCTAGTGCTGCGCCATCCCTTCTGCCCCCATGGGGGAAGAGGGCAGGATCTCAGTGTTCGAGAGGAGCCTCCCTGTGTCCCTCCTCCACCCGGTTGTGGCCGAGCTATAGGGAGTACAGAGGGTCCTAGCCTGTGCTCAGGCTCCTCTTGAGAGCCTTGGGTCTGTCTGGGTTCCTGTGCCGCTCTCCTCTCATCGCCCTGAGTGCCCTGTCCTGCTCACTGCCCTGTAATGTGGCGGGGGCTGCGGGGCCAGCCTGAGAGGGGAGTGGGGCTGCAGCTGCAGGGGGTGGGGGGCAGTAGGGGGAGGACCCCCAATTCCAGCCATTAGGCAGAGATGTGGGGTTCTCTAATTGCGGACTCTGCACAGGTGGTGTTTTCTTGGCCCCGTCCTGGGGGGAGGGGGCTAACTAGATGATCTTTAGTGGCCCCTTCCAGCCCTACTTTTCTAGGTTTCTCAGCCCCCGCCTCTGCCTCCTGCTGCCCCATCTCTTCTGCCCACCCCACTCCCATCTGCTCCCTTCATTCGCACAGTCTGTGCATTACACTAACTGCACACGCACCCACAGTCTGAACCCACCTACTCATACCCAGCACTCAGCCCGCGGCCATGCCCAGCAGCCATGGCAGCCCGATTCCACCCCTTCCCTGGGGCAGTAAGTTAAACCGCAGCCTGCTTGCCCTGCCTTAGCCTAGCCACATTGTTCTCCTAAGAGGAGCCAATGAGACTCTAGCAGGGGCTGGGCCCAGCCAGCGCATGCCGGTTCTGGGAACCTCCTGCTCCCAGCCACACTGGGCCCCTTCCCGCTGCATGTGTTTAATGTTTAATGACTGATGTTTGCTGGGAAGGCAGGGGTGGAGGTGGAGGGAGGGAGAAGAAAATGCCACCCTCTGGGGCAGGAAAGGGTGCGTGGGCTGGAAGGACAGGAGCGGGCAGCGATTCCCCCTGCCATGGACGTAAGGTGCGCTGATGGGGGCAAGAGAGGCTCCTTTGCAGGGGTTGGCCCACACCCATGGGGCTCAGCTCTGCTGGGAGCCAGGCCTGCCCTGACCTGTGCTGTTCTCCGGACATGTAGGGGTTAGGACCGGGACCCGCTGCGACCACAAGGTTTGCAGCAAGCAAATCACAGGGCTGCTGCTCTGAGTCCACACTGTGCTTCCTGTGAGGGATTCTGGGTAGCGTAGTCCAAGGCAGATTTCCTTCGGTGAATAATACTTTGATACGTGCTGGGGCTGCATGCCCACAGAGCTGCCTTGCAGTGCCAGCACGTATCAAAGTATAGGGGGGGAGGGAGAGCTCAGTGGTTTGAGCATTGGCCTGCTAACCCCAGGGTTGTGAGTTCAATCCTTGAGGGGGCCATTTAGGGATCTGGGGCAAAAATTGGGGATTGGTCCTGCTTTGAGCAGGGGGTTGGACTAGATGACCTCCTGAGGTCCCTTCCAACCCCGATATTCTATGATTCTCTGAGCCCTGGCTCTGCCCGGGACGTTACTTTGCACAGTCATACTGAGAAGAGGCGCCTTGGTAACTTGGGGGCTGGCACAGCTTTGCCATGGGAAAGGCTCCCTGCTGTTGAGACAGAGGTGGGTGCCTCCAGGGCCCTGCTGTGCACGGATGCCATAAATCCCCTGGCTGTGCCCTGCTAGCAGTGTTCTCGCAGCCGAGCCCCTGCCCAGGTGGCTGGAGCAGCACCTCAGGGGCACGAGTGCTGAGTGCTTGCTCTAGCTTGGCAACCTCTGTTAAATGGTCTGGTGGTGGGACAGGCATCCCACGCATGTGGCCTCTTTATGTTTCAGCCCTGACCCAGAGGGGATGCTGTTGCGGGGGGAGGGAGGGGCTTGGACGTCACGGGCCCTGGATCCACAGCGTGCCTGTTACGTTGAGAGTCTGGCCTTAAGCCGGCGGCCCCCCCCCCCCCCCGGCTGTCCCTGAGATGGCCAAGGAGGGGGTGTTAGTGGTCCCTGTGATGGCATTTATTGGACACCTGCCCACATGGGACTAGACTGAGACCTGCCAAACTTGGTGTATGTGGGGCCAGAGAGCAGCCACAGTGAACAGGGCTCGACTCGGGTGCATTCTCTATCAGCCAAAGGCTCCATAGCCAGTTCGTGGGCCCTGCACTCCAATGGCTCCTCCTTGTGTGGAGCAGCCAGGGCTGAGGCTCTGCTAATGGCTAGGCAGCCCTTCCTGTTCTCTACAGATTCTTATACCGCTCTCCTCACCTTAGTATCAGGGCTGGCCCCAGCATAACCTAGAGTAGCCCTGGACAGCTTTGCAGTCTGGATCAATCCAGTATCTCTGTGTTCTCCGTGCTGCTGGCCCAGCCCTGCCCCTCAGAGACCCTCCTGTGCCGGGGGAGCAGGGGGCACTTAGGACAGCGTCCAGGGGCTGCAGCAGAGGGGGAACCTTCCACTACTTGGCAGGGATCCCCTTCATGCCAGATTATATGCGGGAACCTCCTTGGAGCACCCAGAGGCTCTCTCACCCATCCCAGCTGGCCCTGCTTCCAGCACCCTGCCCTGGCCAGCTGAGCCCTCCCGTAGCAGAGTGTCAGATGAGGAGGCTGGCAGAGGTGAGGGGCTGGAGAGGCCTGCTGCCTGGCACTGGGGGTAGGGCTCTGGTGTCTGTCTAGGCCCCTAGGTGGTCAGAGAAGGATGGTCAGTATGGTCCCATGGGGCATGGGGTCCCCATGCTTCATTGCTTGCCTACCCTGGTTTAAGTGCCAGGAGTGATGGAGTTGGGGGGAGGTGGGGCTGTGCACAGGATCTGGTGTATTGTAGTGTATCCCCTGTAGAGATCGGGCCCCTCTAATTCCAGATCCTCTGGGCACAGTGGAGTCAGCTGCCCACAGACCTCCTGGTGCTCCCCTCTGTTCATTGTGCCTGAGAGCGTCCCAGCTGGAGGGGAGTGTGCTCTGTCCATTGACTCTGTGCATGGGGGTTCTTGGAGAGCATTCAGCTGCACACAATCCAGCCTGTGTGTGCCGGCTGGCTGGGGGGGGGGGGGGGAGGAGTGCCATGTGACTCGCTGCTCTGGGCCCATTCATCCTGCCCTGGGGAACAGCCGGGGAGTCAGCTGTATGGTAATGGCTGCCCCACCGAACGGTGCAGAGGCCTGAATGGAACAGGGGGCAGATCCCGCACAGGCTGAGATCAGCCGCCTTGCCCCATGCCCACCCCACCTGGGGAGAGCAGGGGGAGGGGAGGCCACTCCTATCTGCGCGTGCACCTGCTTGTCGCCCTCCGTGTGTGCTGTGACTGCTCGAGCTGGCTGCGTCCTGCTGTGAGGCAGTGTGCACCCCTCGCTGCGTGTCTCACCGGGGCGGGTGCGTTCGTGTCTCTCTGCAAGCCCCACCCCCGCAGCTCAATCTCGTCTCCCCCTGCAGAGCCGGGACAGGACCGTGTTCACGCGCAGAACGACCCCAGCAGCCCCGGCATGACCTCAGGGAACGGGAACTCTGCCTCTACTGTTGCTGGTACTGCCCCCCAGAATGGTGAGAATAAACCACCACAGGCCATTGTGAAACCACAAGTCCTGACGCATGTTATCGAAGGGTTTGTGATCCAGGAGGGGGCAGAGCCGTTCCCGGTACGCACCTTCTTCTTTTCCCCCCTTTACCCTGTTCTCTTTTTGTGTTCTCGCTTTGGCGCACGCCCAGGTCCCACTCCCGCCCTGTTTCCCTGACGATAGCAGGAGCCAGCTGAGCATAGGCCTCCAGTCACTGCCATGCCACAGCTCAGCCGGAGGGGGGCGCTCACCTCTGCTGTGAGAGAAGCAGACGCTGCCCCCACCGTGGGGTGCTATTCTGGGCCAGGTGGTCTAATGGTTAGAGCACAGGACTGGGGGTCAGGACTCCTGAGTTCCAGGCCTCGCTCGACCACTGACGGGTGATCCTGGGTAAGGCTCCTTTCAGAAGGGGCCTCTGAATTTGTGTGCCCAGTTTTAGACACTTTGGGCCTTGTCTGGGATGGTGCACGCCCACGGAGGGTGCTCAGTGCTTCAGGAAATCAGGCCTTAGGTGTGTCCACTGGAGCACCTGAGGCCCCCCCAAATCCAAGGCCGCTTTTGGAAAATGGGGGCCTTAACAGCTCTCCCTCTGTTTCCCCATGTGAGCCATGGGGATAATGAGACTTTGGGAAGCGCTGTGAGAGGCGGGGGTGAAAAGCACTAAGCAAAGGGTTATGATTCAAACTTGTCGCTGTTTTCAAATGCGCTTTGAAACCCTTGGATTCACCACGCGCTGTAGGTGAAAGTGCGGAATGGCAGTTACTGTCTTTGAAAGGGGCAGGGGACACTTCTGGGCATCGATATCAGTTTTATTGTTACAATATTTATTTAAAGGTCCTTATAAATAGTTATTGTTAACCTGTCTGGCTTCCTAGCAGAGCTAAGAAGTGCTCAGGAACTGGGGGTGGGGGGCCTGGAGCCTAGTCAGAGCTTCAGCCTGAGGGTAGAAATCTTATTTATATGACCCCTCCACCCACTTTGCCGAAGCACTTGGGTCGGTACAGGGAGCGACAGGCCCAGCAGCGCATGGCGTAAAGCGCTCCTGAGGACGGAGCAGCAGCAGCTGCTGTGCGTAAAGGGGTCCGTTCCAGCCACTCTGAACTTGCTCAGTCTCCTCTCAGCCTGGTCTCTGTCCGAAAGGGAATATTCCACTTGGAGCGAAAATGGTTGAGCCGCTTTAGAGCGAGAGGGAAAAAGATCAATTTTCCTCAGAACAAAACCAAAACCTCCTTCGACCATCTTGCCGGGTGAGCTGGCAGGGCAGGAGCCAGCCCTCCCTGGGGAGAATAAGCAGAGAGGTGACTGAGCTGTGAGACTCTGCAAATTGCAGCAGATGAAATTCACCCCCGCACAGAGGCCCTGCATGAGATACGCGCCCCTCCTAAACCTGTGGGATATCGGTGGTGCCGAGGCCTTCTGCCCAGGGTGGATTTCACTAATGCTTGTGTGTTCATGCGGCCCTTCGACTCAGGCTCCGATCCTGCATAACTGTGATGGGACTGCTCGCAGCAGGTGGTTAATGCAGGATTGGGGCCTGCGTGTGTACACTGCGTGACTGAGGGAGGCTGCACTGAGCACGTGAGCTGGGTGCTGAAGGGGGGAGGCAGGGATGAGGCAAAGATCGCTGCACTCTGTGTGAGGGAGAAATGCACCTTAGAGGCACAGGAGAGGGGCAGCTTTCTCCAGTGTGTGGGGCTGGGCAAATATGTTTCAGCCTCTGGACCTGGCACCCTCTAATGCCAGTTTGCCTGGATATGCAAAGTTCAGCTCCACCTCCAAACCCGAGTGGGCTTCTGCTGTGCCAGTGTGAACAAGGGCATGTCCCTGCGTAACTCGGCTCCATGCAGGCCAGGAGCTCAGCTTGGAGCCAGCTGGTGCGGCAGGGAGCATGGCAGAGGCAGCATGCTTGGGCCTGAGCAGAAGCCTTGCTTTGCTCTGCATCCCCCTGCCCACCTAGCTGGCCCAGCAGAACAGCCTGACTTGGTGGGTCACTGCTGTTGCCCTTCAGTGGTTGCATCCCAGACCTGCTACCACTGCTGCCAGCTGGGGGAGCTCTCCTCCAACTCCCACAGCAAAGGTCTGTGGTTTTGGAGCTGAGTTCTAGGCCGAACTCCCCAGAGGGGCAGGTAGCAGCCCCCTCCTTTCCGCCCGCCACAGAGTTTTTGGAGGCCTGCCGAGAGCCAGCCCAAGGTTGCAGGCAGAACAGCCCTCTAATCTGTCTTGCCCTGTGTCTCCGGCTCTCCAGGTGGGGCGCTCTTCACTGCTCGTGGGGAATCTCAAGAAGAAGTATGCCCAGGGCCTTTTGGCCGAGAAACTCCCACAGCAGGACAATACAACCACCACTGACTCTGAAATGGAGGAGCCCTATCTGCAAGGTAGGCCCCGGCCAGCAGAGGCGCTAGAGAACTGTGCCACCTGCCACTGATCCTCCCACGCCACTAGTCAGGGGAGGGAGCAGCTGTCACATTCGTTAAGAGCTGAGGTCGGGGGCTGCCTGATCCCTTCAGAACCCAGTGGGTGCTGAGGGTCAAACCTCCCCACTGCCCCATCAAAGGGGGCGCTATGGGATGGCCATTTCACCCTAGCACAGGCAGAGCAGCCCTTGACACTATTCCCACTGGGAAGAGGGGGAGGAGGAGACAGCAGGGAATAGGGTGGTGGGAGCACAGGCTAATGGTTAGAGCTGGGACCAGGGTTCTATTTCTGCCTCTGCCACTACCCTCCTAGGTCACTTTCCCCTTTTGTGCTTCAGTTTCCCCATCCATAAGATTTGGGGGAGGGGATGATGATCCTGACTCCCCTCCCAGGGGCTGCGAGGGCCCATGAAGGCTGCAAAACACTTCGTTCTCCACCCTCAGCACCTTTTTCTCACCCACAAAGGAAGTGCAGAAGCGGGGAGGGCAGATAAGCTGGGAGCTGAGAGGTAGCTGTGCTGTCAACCTTCAGCTTGTAGGCTTATGGGCTGGGGCCAGGGCCTATCCCCTGGGGCCTTTCCTGGGACCCTGGCCTGGTTTCCAGGTTCGGGGGCAGCCTGGTGTCTGGCAGTGGGGGCCAGGGCGCAAAGGGGGCTGAGTCCTTCAAGCCGATTGTGCAGCAACCGTTTGCTAATGTGGGTAAAGTGGTGGTGGCGAGACACACAAAGGCTGAGATGCCCCCAATACCCCGATGTTCTCCAGTCTCCTCAGGGCTGCTGGGTTAAGATGCAAGAACATCTCAGGATCCCTGTGTAGGGCAGACCCACATGTGCTGCTGCCTCGGGCCCGTGGCTCCAGGAATAACACTCATTTGCCCACCCACCAAAAGCAGGATCCCATGGCGCCCAGAGTTAGGCCAGCCTGCCTGTCTGGCATGGGAGAGCCCAGCAATTTGAAAGCCAGAGTGTCTGCAGGGTGCCTGGATCTCCTCGTCTGGCCTTTGAGTGGGAGGGGACAGTCAGGGACAGTCACCCCCTCACCTAGAGCAACCGAGGCGCCTGCCAGGAGTGGCCTGCTGGGGGGGCTGTGTGGCCAGGGGGAGTGGGGAAGTGGCCTTGCCTATGGTGGGTGGCCTGTGTGTGGAGGATTGGTGCTGGCCTGTGGCCCAGGGGACTGCAGATGGTGGTTGTGCTGGGGGGCAGGGTTGCTCTGTCCAGGCAGTGGCTGAGACCCCACTGCATGCCAGGCGTGTGCAAGCCGTTACTAAGAGCCAGGTGTGTCTGTTGGTCCCTGTGTCCCCAGAATCCAAAGAGGAAGGGAACCCCCCGAAGCTGAAGTGTGAGCTCTGCGGCCGCGTTGACTTCGCCTACAAGTTCAAGAGGTCCAAACGCTTCTGCTCCATGGCCTGTGCCAAGAGGTAACCACTGCTGAGCAGTGCCTGACAACCAACTCCCCAACCCCCCCAGCCCCAACCCCAGCCCCCCCCCGCGGCGCCTGACCCCGCTACCAAGCAGCACTCCCGGCTCTGCCGCTGGGCAAGGCAGCCTAGCGTTGCCCTACCCCTTCGTGCATGCCATGCCCACCGCGGGGCAAAGCCCCCGGGTCCCACTCCATCCCTCCGCCTCACGCGGGGGCTAGGGGATCTCCCCCCCACCAACATGCTGGCTCTGGGGGCCGGGACGCTGGCAGGGCCATGCTGTGGCTGGTGCATCTGCCTGGTGCAGGGCCCCCCTAGGCGCCATCTGCCCTCGTCCGGCCACTGTGGGGGGCAGGGCAGGGTTGTGAGGCCGCTGAACCGAGACCCGCTCCTGGCTCCCCTGCCAGGTACAACGTGGGGTGCACGAAGCGGGTGGGTCTCTTCCACCCTGACCGCAGCAAGCTCCAGAAACCGGGGGCGGCCGCACACGGGCGCCGTCGCACCTGCAAGGGGGCCCTGCCCGCCCTCAGCAAGGACACCAAGAAACAGGTGAGCTGCAGCCTTCCCCCCAGGGTGCTGAATCCAACCCCCTTCCCTCCCCCAGGATCCCCGGGAGGCAGCTAGTGCATGAGCCTGGAAGTCAAGGACCTGGGCTACCCATTGGCCCTTGGCAAATCGCTGCGCCTCTGCAGGCGCCCCCTGCTCGCCTGAGGGGGGCAGTCTCTGCTGTAGGGCAGGTGGCTGGAGGGTCTCAGGCACATGGGGCTACAATTTTATTAAGATGTTAAAATAAAATTTAAAAAAAGGCACAGAGTTTAAGCGTAGAAGTTTCTGGTTATCAGGGGATAAGGTACAGATTATCAAGGGGCGCGAAATTCGGGCTAGGATTGGATGGCATAAGGAATACATAACCTGCAATCTCCCCGATTGGGGGTAAAAGGTTGATCGTAACCATCAGTTAGCCCCATTGCCCAGTCGGGAGGGAGGGCCAGCAGTGTGCTGAGAGGGTGTGGGGGGGAACAGAACCTAAGAACCTCCGGACAGACAATCAAAGCTGAGACTAGAACGCAGGACTTTGGGCTCCATCCCCTGCCCTCTAACCACTAGACTGCACTCCCTCCAGCACCAGCAGTAGAACCCAGGAGTCCTGCCCTAGTTCCCCAGAGGGAGCAATAGGACCCAGGTGTCCTGGCTCCCAATCGTCTGCAGAGCAGAAGAGACTGGGGAGATGGATGTTGCATGGGGCGGTGGGGGGCTGGCCCCCCACAGGCTGACCTCTCCACTGCCCCTGCAGACGCCAGTGTCCCTCTCCACGGGCTCGGTGCCGCTCTCCGTCACAGCCTCGCTCCAGCTCAACCGCAGCCAGGAGGATTCCAGCCGCTGCTCCGATAACTCGAGCTACGAGGAGCCACTCTCGCCCCTCTCGGCCAGCTCATCCACCTCACGCCGGCGGCAGGGCGAGCGTGACCTGGAGCTGCCCGACATGCACATGCGGGACCTTGTGGGCATTGGGCACCACTTCCTGCCCAGCGAGCCCACCAAGTGGAATGTGGAGGATGTCTATGAATTCATTCGCTCCTTGCCAGGTGAGGGACCCTCCCAGCCTTGCTCCCCTCCCTGCCACATGGGCCCTGGGCCAGCCAGGGCCTGCGGGATCTTTGAGGCCTACATGTCTGGGGTGTTGCTTTGCCCACTGCTGACATGCAGCTAGCTCTGGGGTGGAGTCCAGTAGCTGTTCTGTGCTATCCAGCGAGGTGGGCTGGAGTTAGCATGGAAGGAGCATGGGGAACCAGGCTTTGACTTCCAGGGAGAAGCTAATGAGCTTGGCAGCAGGTTTCAGCTAGAGCAAACCACTCTGTCCCCAAATCTGAGAGCAGCTGGCCAGGCTAGGAGGGCCCTCAGCAATCACCCCACCGTCCCTCTCACCTGTGCTGACCCTGAGTGCCTGCCTCCAGTGCTGGGGCCTCAGACAGGCCACTGCCCCCCCTCTGTCTGAGGTGTCAGTCTATCCTGCAGGGGTTCCCCCAGGGGCATTCCTGCACCCCCTGGCCTCTGCTGTCATCATCCGTCGGCCCCACCTGTCACTTCCCTGCTCACTGTGAGATGCCCTGACCTGTCCTGCGGGACCCAGGCAGAGGGTTTGTCTGGGCCTCCCTGGGAGGGGGGAGTCTTCCCAACCTCCCTCCACCACAAAAGAGGCACCCCAGAGCCCTGTGCTGACTGCCCTTCCAGTGGGGGGCGTCGGGTTGCGGTGTACTCCCTGCTCCTGCCTCAGGAGCACTGCAGCCACTTGGGGGGTGGGACACAGGAGCTACTTAACAGCTCGCAGCAAGAGACTGGGACAGGAACAAAACCACTGTGGGCAGTTACAGCTGCCGGGGACCCCAGCGAGGGCTCCCCTGAGCTAGGTGGGGCCGCGGTGCCTGGGTAACGTGATCAGGTTCGTTCTGTTTTTCTGCCAAGACGGTTTCAGCACAACTGGGGCTGCCTGCAAGGGGACACACCCCCTGCCAGTCCTGCTGCCCCGCACTGGCTCAGGCTCCCATCCAGCACTGAGCTAGCATGGATCTGCTTGGCGTGGGGAGGTGGTGATGGCTCCCCGGAGAGGGCAGAGCTGGCCGGGGGGGGAGGAGGGGGTGGAAGGCTGGGCTGGCACCCACTCTGATGGCCTCACTGGCTCCCTGCAGGGTGCCAGGAGATCGCGGAGGAGTTCCGCGCCCAGGAGATCGACGGGCAGGCCCTGCTGCTACTGAAGGAGGATCACCTCATGAGCGCCATGAACATCAAGCTGGGCCCAGCGCTGAAGATCTACGCCCGCATCAGCATGCTCAAGGACTCCTAGAGGCGCCCGCATGCATGGCACGGGCAGCCCACCTAGCCGCTCCCACGCAGGGCAGAGGCACCTGCCCACGGAAGCCCTTTGGGAACAGGCTGTAGCTGTCGCTAGGAGCTGGGGGGACAGCACTGGGCCCATGAGCTCCCTGCTGCCTGGAGCACAAAGGGCCCCTGAATCCCACAGCTGGGGTCTGATGCCTGGATATCCCTGTCGTCCCACCTCCTTGCTGGGGGCGGGAGGCTATGGCTTGCGGGGCTATACGTATTCTGTAGCATTAGCTTCCCCTACTGCTGTCCCAGACTGCCCCGCGGTGTACAGGGGAGAGGGGATCCTGGCAGCAGGGCAGGATGGGGCTGTTCAAGGGGCAGTGGCCCCCATGGCCAGGTGCTGGCTGGCAGTAGTCAGGGCTGGGCTGATTCCCCTCTACCCACCTAGATGTGTGATCTACAGGAGCCCCACTCCCCTCTCTAGCCCCTCTGGCACCCCCGGTCACCCCCCAGAACTGCAGACTCGCCACCCCCTGGAGAGGCTGAGGGACACGTGCTGGACCCAACCCCTCCTCTCAATGCCAAACAGGACGGTTGCCTTAAAGTTGTGTGTGGTTGTGGTGCCAGGCATGGCCCCCCTCCCCCCCTGCGCCCCCGGGCAGGCTGCCAGTTCCTGGGCCCCCATTTGTGCTCCCAGCCTGCGGCCAAGGCTGCTGGGGGTGGCAGCACGTCCTGTGGCTCAGACTGTTAACTCAGAAGCCGGCGTGTCCCACGGGGGAGGGCTCCTGGGCGGTGGGGGCCCTGCTCCTGGGACAGCACAGTGGGGAGCAGGCTCCTGGCTGGCTGTGTGGGGGGGCAAGAATGCCTAGTGCCCCTTGGCAGGGGGATGCATTGCAGCAGGGCCTGCTGTGTTCCCTGGGCATGGGCACCGCTGGCCCCAGTGCCCTAAGAGCATCCGTCCCTGTGCTGTGGAGGGGGCAGGTGGGGCTGTCCCTCCAGGCTACCGGGGCCAGAGTAGCTGGCTCATGCCAACAGAGCAGTCCCCCATGCTGGCTTGGGGGGCATCTGCACAGGCCTCCCTAGGGCTTCCCTTGGCACCTGTCCTCAGGCTGCCATAATACTGCCAAGGCTGCCCGCATGCAGCGGGGTGGGGGGCTCCAAGCCCCACTGAGAATCATTCCTCTCTTAAGAGGGGGAGAGATGTAGCTCTATCCTCCCCTCCCTATTGCAGAGCTGCTGGCTGCAAGTGTCCCCCAGCAACTAGGGAGCCACTCCTGGCTCTAGACTGAGGGAGGCTGGGCTGGGAAGGTCTTTTTAACCCCCCTTTTTTTTTTTCTCCTGTTGTTTTTAATAAACATTACAAAAAAACCCCCACAAACCTCCGCTCGGGGGCTTTTCTGGGCCTAGACGCATGCTGAGCGCCAGCCGCTCTTCGGCTGGTTAGTAGCAGGAGCGGGGGCTCGGCAAGGTGAAACCTTTCAGCCCTGCCCTGCCCTGCCCTGAGTGGAGACCCCCATCTGGGCTATGGTTCGACACTGAAGGCTCTCGCAGTACTGCGTTAGCTCCGGTTTACCCAGTCTCCCCAGTGATAAGAGCTGGAAATGGTGGGATGGAGAGGGAGTTGAATGAAAGGGGGAGAGGAGCCAGTGTCATCCCCTTGGGGTGGCTGGAGCTCATGAAATCCATGAGGAAGGGGCAGGGTGAGAGCAGCTGCTCTGTTGGGTTGATGCTGAGCAGGGCCCAGGGGCTGGAATTCTTCTTTTCACTTTTGAAAATATTTTTCAAAACTGAAACTTCCAAGCCAGAAAGTTGGCTGACCTGTGCCCCAATTGACCAACCAGCTGGGCCAGGGAAGGGGGCAGAGAGTTAGAAACCAACAAATGGAAAAAACACCACACCTCTTGGATGGGCCCCAAACAGGAGCAGCCTCCCCCCAAAGCATCCTGGAAAACTTGGGAAACCAACTGGTTTCACAAACATGGTTTCTGAAAAATGCCAGTTTCTTGGCAAAACAGTCCAACAACTGCCCCCAGGTCTGTTCATATCCTTCGCTCTCCCCCATAGTCACAGCCCAGTGCCTGGTAGCTGAGCCCCTCCCAGTCTTCAGTGGATTTAGTTTCATGTAGGGCAGGGCTGTTATCCCTGTGGGGGAAACTGAGGCACAGATCCCCAAAGGTACGTGGCCACCTAACTCATGTTGAGCTCAATGGAAGATCTCACCTCTGAAGATCTGGGCCTAAGAGTCTTCCCTTGGCAGGGGCCTTGATCCCAGGTCTCTCCCACCCTAGCTTAGAGTCTAGCTCCCTCGGTATGGCACTCACTCGCCCTTGGTAATGGCAGCACTGTGGATTCTGGCTGCTGGGGGGGCAGCAGGGAGTGTGCTCTGTGCCCTGCCATGCTCCAGCATGAAGTGCCCAGGAGCTGAGCATGCTCCTGCCACCTGGAGTTGCCGAGGCAGAGATGGCCAATGTCTCCTGTCTGCAGCCCTCTGCTGAGGCCGCATACGCTGGATGCTCCCATCAGCTTCGGTGGGAGCAGATGCAGAATCCACTCTTGCAAGGTGCCAGTTGCACCATTCATGCTGTGGCTCAGGCCCTGCTTCAGGTAGCCAACAAGTCCAAAGCCCCCCGACCCTGGCTCAGTATCCTCCCCCAGCCCCTTTGCTTGCAAGGGTCAAAGCAGGAGTGCTGGTGGGGCAGTGAAGGGGGCGAGAGGTAGCACCTCATTAGAATAGAGTCTGGCAGTTTAGCCCCCCACTCAGCTGGAGTTTAGGAGCAGGTTCAATCTCCCGCTGGACGTTCCTTGGCTATGAATGGTGTTGCAGGGCGTGGGGGGCACGACGCTGAAGGGTTCAATGCTGGCTCCTGCTGCTTGAGGTTTCCACTCCTGGGGGTAAGTGGTGGGTTAACCTTGTGTGCTGATCACGCCCTGGGAGGCTTTGCAAACAGCCCAGGGAAGACACAGCAGGCGTGGGAGAGGGTAGAAATATGAGCTGGGCCACTCGTGACGGGTGCTTTAGAAATGGGTCTGATGCAACTCACAGTCAGCCTACAGCACGCTGACTACAGGATGGAGAGCTAGTGCGCGGAGGGGCTGGGGAGCGTCCCTGGCCGTGGCTGGTGCAGGAGGGTGGGGGACAACCGAGGGGGTTCAGAGGTGAGCAGCGGAGGAGTTAGCCCATCTGCTGGAGGTGGTCATGAGAGAACCTTCTACCGCTAGAGGAGAGCGAGAGCACCTCAGGGAGAGGGGTAGCCGCAGTGTAGCCCTGCCAGTAACTAGGGGAAAGGGAAGCCCCCCACCAGTGAGATCGCCTGGACCACAAGAGGGGCGGCCCTTTGGGGGGGTGGAGCCAGCTCACAGGTGGCCTGGCCCTCTCAACTAAAGTAGGGCAAGTCACCGGAACCTGGGCTGCAGGCAAGGCTCCTGCCCTGCCTGGGGTTAGCCTGGATGATACACCTCTTCCCCTCCTCTGATTTCATGGCCTAGGGCCCTAGGCTGAGTGTGGTCCCACATGTCTCCATGGGGTTCTGCTCTCACCTGCTGCCAGTGCCAGGGTATCGTATCTGGAGTGGGTAGGTGGCAGGCCCACTGCCTGCAATAATGGGGTGCTCTGGGGAACCTCCATCTGACAACCTAGAGGAGAGCACGTCAATAACCAGGGTGCTGAGCAATGGGGAAAGGGTTAAATCGGCTGGGTGGGGCCATGATCCCCAGGTACCAGCACAAGGGGGAGGGGCTCTTTGGGGGGGATGGCTGGGGTGAGTGTAGCCCACTTTGCAGTTAGCCTGGGGATCAACGAACACGAAGGGTTAATGGGCTGCCCCTGGGAAAGCCCATTGGATTTCAGTGGGGCAGGGGATGGCATGCATCCTTGGCAGGGGCAGCTGAGCTCATCCCCATGACTACTGGCCCAGTAAACTTCCCCTCCCTCCACCCTGTTACAGGCTAAGCCTGGGGCTGCCTCTGGCATTTTGAGCCTCTGCTGACACCTAAAGACTGTGCATGGAAACAACAGTGCTGCAATGGCACGATGGGACTGTCTACACTGCAGTGGAAGCCTGGGGTTCAAACTCAGGCTAACCCTCCCTTCTGTCTACACACAAATCACACTAACCCAGGGCTTGGACCCAATGGGGGTGGAGGGTCTGAGCCTGAGTCAAGCTGGGACCCAGGGTTCAAGCCGTGTTGTTTTGCAGTGTACGTGCAGCCCTACTGGATTCATGTTCTTGAGTGTGAAAAGGATCCCACAATCCCACAGGACAACTTTCTTTGTCCTCTGGACAGTCAAGTTTGTTTGATAGATGTTAAGTCCAGAGGGTACCATCATGATCATCTAGTCTGACCTCCTGCACATCGCAGGCCACAGAACCTCACTCACCCACTCCTGTAACAGACCCCTAGCCTCTGGCTGAGTTACTGACATCCTCAAATCATGGTTTAAAGACTCCAAGTTACAGAGAATCCACCATTTACACTAGTTTAAATCTACAGGTGACCTGTGCCCCACGCTGCAAAAGAAAGTGGAAAAAAACCCCAGGGTCTCTGCCAATCTGACCTGGAGGAAATTCCTTCCCGATCCCAAATATGACCATCAGTTAGCCCATGAACTTGTGGGCAAGACCCTCCATCCCCTCCACAAAGTTATCAAGCTCAGTCATAGACTCATAGAACTGGAAGGGACCTTGAGGGGTCATCTAATCCAGTCCCCTGCACTCAAGGCAGGACTAAGTATTATCTAGACCATCCCTGACAGGTGTTTGTCCAACCTGCTCTTAAAAATCTCCAGTGATGGAGATTCCACAACCTAGGCAATTTATTCCAGTGCTTCACCACTCCAACAATTAAGAAGTTTTTTCTAATGTCCAACCTAAACTGCCCTTCCTGCAATTTAAGCCCATTGCTTCTTGTCCTATCCTCAGAGGTTAAGAAGAACAAATTTTCTCCCTCCTCCTTGTAACAACCTTTTATGTACTTGAAAACTGTTATCATGTACCCCCTCTGTCTTCTCTTCTCCAGACTAAACAAACCCAATTTTTTCAATCTTCCCTCATAGGTCATGTTTGCTAGACCTTTAATCATTTTTGTTGCTCTTCTCTGGACTTTCTCCAATTTGTCCACATCTTTCCTGAACTGAATTGAACACAATACTCCAGTTGAGGCCTAATCAGCACGGAGTAGAGCGGAATAATTACTTTTCGTGTCTTGCTTACAACACTCCTGCTAATACATCCCAGAATGATGTTTACTTTTTTTGCAACAGTGTTACCCTGTTGACTTATATTTACTTTGAGATCCACTATGACCATTCCGCAGTACTCCCTCCTAGGCAGTCATTTCCTATTTTGTATGTGTGCGATTGTTCCTTCCGAAGTGGAGTACTTTTCATTTGTCCTTATTGAATTTCATCCTATTTACTTCAGACCGTTTCTCCAGTTTGTCCAGATCATTTTGAATTTTAATCCTATCCTCCAAAGCACATGATACAAAGCACAGCTTGGTATCGTCCACAAAGTTTATAAGTGTACTCTCTATGCCATTATCTAAATCACTGATGAAGATATTGAACAGAACCGGACCCAGAACTGATCCCTCCGGGACCCCACTCGTTATGCCTTTCCAGCATGATTGTGAACCACTGGTAACTACTCTCTGGGAACAATTTCCCAACCAGTTATGCACTCACCTTATAGTAGCTCCATCTAGGTTGTATTTCCCTAGTTTGTTTATGAGAAGGTCATGCGAGACAGTATCAAAAGCCTTACTAAAGTCAAAATATACCACATCTACCGCTTCCCCCGCATCCACAAAGCTTGTTACCCTGTCAAAGAAAGCTGACCGTTACTTATCATCTTATTATTTTCTGGGTGTTTGCAAATTGATTTCTTAATTATTTGTTCCATTATTTTTCAGGGTACAGAAGTTAAGCTGACTGGTCTGTAATTCCCCAGGTTGTCCTTATTTCCCTTTTTATAGATGGGCACTAGATTTGTCCTTTTCCAGTCTTCTGGAATGTCTGCCGTCTTCTATGACTTTTCAAAGATAATTGCTAATGGCTCAGATATCTCCTCAGTCAGCTTCTTGAGTATTCTAGGATGCATTTCATCAGGCCCTGGTGATTTCAAGACATCTAACTTGTCTAAGTAATTTTTGACTTGTTCTTCCCCTATTTTAGATTCTGATCCTACCTCATTTTCACTGGCATTCACTATGTTAGATGTCCAATTGCCACCAACCTTCTTGGTGAAAACTGAAACAAAGAAGTCATTAAGCACCTCTGCCATTTCCACATTTTCTGTTATTGTCTTTCCCTCCTCACTGAGTAATGGGCCTACTCTGTTCTTGGTCTTCCTCTTGCTTCTAATGTATTTGTAGAATGTT